GTGTTATTTTAAAATAACCACTTTGCACAAAGACAGGTACCAGTAACTGAATTCAAATAAGCCCTAACACTTTCATTGTACTTCATTGGGAAAATTCAATACTGAGTAAGCACTCCTGTAAACAATGAGAGTCATATACTATGCCAAGATTTGTGTGTTTTTTCTCATCACTAAGGACTTTGTTAATATTGAGTGTGTTAGAAAAGATCATACTATGCTAAAACTTGAGTGTGCTTCAGAACTCGACAAGCCTATATGCTAAATAAATAAATAAATGAAAGAAAGAAAATGAAAAGGAGAGGGAGTTTGTTTATTTAGTATAGTTTATGTAATACATATAGAGGTTAAAAGTTGGATTTAGAAAAACAGACCCTGTTGGAATTCCAACTCTTCCATTTATTAGCTGTTTGACTTTGGAGAAATTATTTAATCTCTCTGAATTTGCTTAATGCATGAGAATGACTGTGATAATGTTGAACATGCACCTTAACAGTAACTGTTACTTACAAAAAAAAAAAAAAAAAGTCTAACTTCTAGGAATGTACCATTTGTAAAGGGGATATAGCCTGGGGTAGGCAGAATGAAACTGTCTTGGGAATTCCATGTGAATACTGCCAGGAAGTTATAGATGCTAAGTATTGCTACATGTTTCCACAGTCATCTAATTCAGCCCATCTCTCATTTCCTCTCTTCCACATGCTTTCCCTCCAAATATTCACCCTTTAAATTCTTCTCTTTGTAAAAAAATATGGTGAGCACTACAGAGAGCAATCAAAGATGATCTCAGTTCCATCATTATTTCTGACAGTACCATGATGAAGTGGTTATATTAAAAAAAAAATGATCTAATTGAGTTACTCTGGCCCCATTCCAATTTAACTATTTCTTTCAGAAAGGAAAACTTGCTATTTTAATTGGGAAGATTTTCCAGTCCTCACTGATACAGTTTTTCTTTTGCTTAAATTCTCTGTGAGCAATAATTATGTTGCTAACTGCAAAGACTGATTCCTTTTTCAGTAAGCATTTAGTGAGCCTCTACCTTGTACTCTGGTACTAGATATGGAGGTGAATCATTATATATTATTCTAATAAATCATCCCCCATTGGTTTATGTTAGACAAACCAGTTTTGTTACATTTGACCAAAGTTAACAAACATTTCAAGAAGGAAAAAAATGAGGTTTGTTTAGGCAGTAATGAATAGTTATTATATAATTATATCCTAGAAAGCCTGTGGTTAGAAATAAAGTTGGAAAGGTTGCTTAGATCTGAATTGTGGAGAGCCTTGACTACAGGCTTGAGTGATCCAATCAAAGCCACATTTTTAGGAAGATTAAGGGTGAAGGGGGGTAGACATGGAGACAGAGAACCAGGGCTGTTGGTGGCATAGCTTCTTTTGTAAATGCTTACACTGTCCTGCATTTATTTATTCAATTCACCATCTTTTATTTATTTATTTTGAGAACTGATTATATATGCCAGGCTCATGACTAGATTTTAGGACAATAAAGGTGATTGATATGGCTCCTGTCTTCTCAGAGCCCCAAGCCTAAAGGCTAATCAGACCTGTTATTGTGAGAAATGAATTATTAGGATTATGTAAAAGTTATAGTTGTTTTATGTTTTAAAAAAATAGTGATTAACTCTTGTTGAGTTAAGAAAAGCTTCAGAGACTTGGTGATTTCTGATGGTTTTTGAATAGTAGTTTGGACATGAGCATTGGGATTAAAACAGTTCTATACATATTCAAGGTTAAAGGTAAAAATTTAGGATCATAAATAAATAATATGATCATTTTAAAATTGATGAAATTCCCAGGGATGCAAATGATCACTATAAGGCAAGATAAGCAAGGACTGAACTCCAAGGAATACTGACAGTTGAAAAGATCAGCTCAAACAGAGGAAGCTAAGCAGAGAACTCTGAGGCAGAAGTGAGCATTTAGGAGAATCACAAAATTAGGTGTTATGGAAGGTATTATGAAAGGAGAAAGTTACAGAATGGGAGTAGCAGAGTGTCAGGAGCCACAAGATTAAACAAAAATAGGACCAAGAATGCCTATTAATTTGCATAAGGGAAAGGTTATGAATCCCAGTGAGAGTCATTTCAATGGAACAAGGAGGGTGGGAGCTATATTATAGGGAGTGGAGGGGGAGATGAGGAAGGGAACCGTCTACCTTTGCTTTCAGAAATGTGGGCTGTGGATGATGGGGAGAAGTGTTAGCAGCAAAGAGATGTGAAGGTCAAGGGAAGTTCTTTTGATTCATTTTGTTAATGAGAAAAACTGATGTGCTGTGTATTGGTCCTGGAAGTTCATGATATGTGCATTCCCAACAACTTAACAATTAGGAACAATATTTATCTTAAAACAAGATGTTCCTTCTGCTATGTAAATATATAATTTCACTCTTGATTCAAGATTGCCTTGTCTTATTTTGTATTCTATTCTCTCATATAAATACAATACTATTCTATAACTGTAACAGATGTTAGAGGGATTAGAGGGGCCATAAGCAGATAAATTTTAGACTTATATTAAAATTGTAATCTAGTCATATATAGATTTATCTTTTCTCAAGGAGGGAAAAAATCAGGTTGAATTCTAATTCCAAATTTATATTTTTCTTAGGGAGAAATTTATAGTATACATAAAATACCTTATGTGACAGCTACTCTAATCCCCACAGTTTGGGATTAACAAAAGGAAGGGTTTGGAATTAGCAAAATCTAATTATGATTTTAGTAAAATGATAATTTCTACTAAAGCTGTCCCATGTAGGGTTGACTTTTCTGAAAGGACTAGTCAACTAGTAGATATTGTACCTTTTTCAGGCCTCATGACTTTTTGAGTTAGTTGAATTAGTCTCATTAAATTCTATGTGAAATAGACAAATTTATTTATTTATTTGGTACCAGAGATTGAACCCAAGGGCACTTAATCACTCAGCCACATCCCCAGATCCCACCTTCCTTTTATTTTAAGAGACAGGATCTCACTAAGTTGCTTAGGGCCTTGCTTGGTTGCTGAGACTGGCTTTGAACTCGCAATCCTCCTGCCAGTCTCCTGAGCCACTGGAGATTATAGGCATGTGCCACCACTCCCAGTGACATGAACACAATTTTAAATAGAAATTTGTTGTCACAAGAAAACAAATTTTGGTTAAGTCAAGTATTCAGCACCAGGAACTAACTATACCTATCTCTGTCAGCTTTGTTTCTTTCTAAATGCTGCCTTCATTCCCAGTCAGTGCATATTCACTTTCTTCTTGGAGATAGACCAATGGATGCCAACAGCTTCTGTCACTGCTAAGACAGAAGAAAAGACTTTCCTCTTGCTCTAGAAACTTGATGGTTCCCTGGGATCATATGCCTGCCCAACAGACAAGTGTGACCAGGGGATTGAGATACTAAGATTAGTCCAGCTAAGATGAGATGTCTTTAATTTGCCACAGAACACAGGATTATATAAGGAGACAGCATTTTTCATTCATTTGCTTGGTAGAGGTGGGGCTGTTGCCTGGGAAGAGAAAGGTGCTAGGCAGAAAACCATAAATGTTCAATAAGCTTGATTGGCAGAGTCTATGAACAAATGGGCTAATTGATTTTAGAATAGGTTATGGGAAGGTTTTCTGAAATGATCTGCCAGGCCACGTCTCTCTCAGAGAAGTGAATCATGGTTAGGTTATAATTAGTGGTCAAATTTAAATAAACCACATACTGACTTAGCACTTCACAATTTAGAAATAATTTCATTTGCATCAAACTTATTGGAACTAAAAATAAGCCAGTGGATTTTTTAAAAATCTCCATTTTAGAGAGTACAAGGCTGAGTCTTAAAAAAAAAATATATATATATATATATATATATATATATATATATATATATATAGATGTGTGTGTGTGTGTGTGTGTGTGTATATCTCCTGTCTAGGATCCTACAACCATTGAGTAAGCTTTGGATTTAGAATCAGTAGCCCAGATTTCAAATATTTCTTCTATTATGCCCTGTTCTTAACTGTGTGTGTGTGTGTGTGTGTGTGTGTGTGTGAATTGAACCCAGGGCCTTGCTAGGCAAACACTTTACCCCTGAGCTACATCTCCAGTCCAATATTCCCTATCTTATGTTACTGAAAGTATAATATTTAAAGGATTCTAAAATCTTGCCCATTTTAGGAAGTGTTTTGCTAAGTGACTTTTAAAGTATATTTATAAATCAGTTATTCCCAATGTGTTAAATTTATAACTTTGTAAATTCTTCAGGCCCCCACTAAATCTGCTGTTGTTGACATAGCCTATTCTAAAGAACAAAATAATTTTCAGTTTTCCTTAAAAACGTATGGCATGTTGGGCTGGGGTTGTAGCTCAGTGGTAGAGTGCTTGCCTCGCTCGCACATGTGAGGCCCTGGGTTTGATCCTCAGCACCATATTAAATAAGTAAATAAGTAAACAAGTAAATAAATAAATAAATAAATAAATAAATAAATAAATAAATAAAGATATTGTGTCCATTTACAACTAAAAAATATTTTTTAAAAATGTATGGCATCTCACTGGGTATGGTGGTACATGTCTGTAATCTCAGCCACTCTAGAAGCTGAGGCAAGAGGATTGCAAGTTCCACACCAGCCTCAGCAATTTAGCAAGACCCTGTCTCAAAATTTAAAAAGGGCTGGGGATGTGGCTCAGCAGTAAAGCCCCCCTCCCCTGGTTCAATCCCCAGTACCAAAAAAGGAAAAAAAAAAAATGTATGGCATCTCTTTAACAATTAGGTAGCTGTAAGATTATGTATTTTCAGAAAACCCAGAGTCAATGGCTTAATGTAGTTTCTAACCTATTGAAGAATGCTATGCTCATTTGCCTATACTCTCTAATCTGATCAGAAAGGAAAAGGATATATAAAAATAGAAGTTTCCAAAATAGTAAATGTATTTGATCCTTAATAATTCCTTGTTGTTGATGTGTTTTTTTTTTGTTTGTTTGTTTTTGTTGTTGTTGTTTTAGATGAGAAGAAACAAATGGTTGCAAATGTGGAGAAACAGCTTGAAGAGGCCAAAGAACTGGTATGTAGAGACTGTAACAGAGTCCTGGAAACACATCTTCCTCTAGCTTCATTTATGCATTGTGGAAGTGTGAAATGTTACTGATCGGTGTTTTTAATTCACTATTTGTCACTTTTTAAATTTAAGGGAATTTAATAGCTTCTTAAGATTTTATTCTTTTTAATGAACATGATCTGTTAAGTGTCAACCTCTAGTGTTTATTCCTTCATATTTTTCATAAGAGCTATAAATTGTTAATCCTTGATCAAGGCATACTAGGTACCAGACACTGGCATAAGTGTACATCTTGCTTTATAATATTTAATTTTCTCAAAAAACATGAGTCACAAGAATTATTTGTCAAAAACCATGAAGGGTCTGAGATGTTCCCATACTTTTAACCTGAGTGAACTTGTCAGCTTATAGAAGACATGAGACTTTTAAGTCAGAGACAAAAGACTTTTATCACTCATAGTGAAAATGGCTGCCAGAGTTTCAACCTGGTTCAATCAGTTCTCTGAGTTCCAGTTCCCATAGGATTGATGCAGGTAAGCATAGATATTTTCTTACACAAGCAAAATAAAATACTGTACAGGACAGGAACTCAGAGCCTGGGAAACAAGCCACTCTATAGCAGCCAGGAAGCATACCTGCTTACACCTGCTTTCTGTCCTAGAGAAAACACATTATTTCCTCCTTCAAGGTTATTTCCTATGAACAGAATATTGAAAGATAGCCCTGGTCAGAACCTTCCATTTTTGACACACCCAGCAAGCTAAATTGGAGCATAAGAGATTATCAATACTTTTCTTACCACCTTTTGTAGATTGGGACTGAGGTTTAAGTAACTTGTTTGAGACCCAACACCTTGTTAAGTGGTAAAGATTTGAATCTAAATATGTTAAACCCAAGGTCTGGTTCATTGACTACTTCTTCATGGAAATAAATCCATAAGTTAGGGAGGAAAAAAAAGAGGTAAAAAGTATTATTTCCCAATTTGGGGCTTTAAATGCCAAGTATTGCAAATATGATTCAATTTGTTTCTATGTATTGTGGTTCCAAATGAGTGTGTTAGATAAAGGTGTTGCTTTTCCACAGAGCTTTCTTGGACATTTAGGTAAGCTTAAGGACATTATGAATTTCTAAGAAGGGACTTCAAAGATTAGCCACAGATTGGAGCATCTTCCATGCTATTTGACATAGAAGTATTTTTTAACAGGACCATACATGAGAGGCTGCAGCCTTGGGAGGTTCTAAGGAGTAAGCAGTTGTTCCCAGTGGCACAGTAGATATTTCTTCTGTGTCTTTGAGTACTAAGGCATGGACCTGCGGAGTTGCTGCTCCATCTTCTCTGTCAGTGGTTCTTTGAGCTTTCAGAATATTGGATGCTTTCCGTGTCCCATAGTCTACTTCTAGACTCTGCTGGCTGCTCTCACTATCTCCTTAGGCTGATGTTACTGCCTCTATAAGGGTAGCTTTACCTTTTGCCTATTTTTTGAAAGTGTTCTTTTAATATTTTTCTCCTTACTTTAGTTTCTTTTTATATTCAACTGCTTCTGTCATGATTGACAGCTTTCATACAAAAAGACTAGCTTTTTATGTTCCAGAGCAAGGAATCAGGACATGTCTTCTTTCTGATTGGTAAGATAATTATGAATTGACAACTGCTAAATTCTTTGGATCTTGCATTGATTTCTTATACTGTTGTTGAGTTCTCAGTAGCAGGTTTTTTGCCATCAAGATTGGTGTTTTGGGGCTGGGGTTGTAGCTCAGTGGTAGAGCACTTGCCTCACACATATGAGGCCCTAGGTTCAATCCTCAGCACTACATAAAAATAAATAAATAAAAATAAAGATATTAAAAACATAAAATGCATTTAAAAAAAAAAAAAAAAAAGATTGGTGTTTTGGTTTATAGCCCTTACCCTGGAAACATTCTGTTTATCTAATGATGGAAAGCTGATCTTCTGATGACCAAGGTTTTACCACAGACGTATAGAAAGCATAAGCTGGCTTTAGTTATTACTAACTAAATAATAGTTAATTATTTAGTTATTATCATTATTATTCTAATAATAGAGGCTTTTGTCTAAGATACGTATTTCTGTTTGTTTAAAATGATCAGAAAACTGTTAGTTTAGTTCTGATGACATCATTGTTAAAGACATTGTTGGTTATATTATATACTGTCCTGTAGATAAGGACAGTCATTAAAAAAAAAAGAAAACTTGTTTTCTATCTGACTGTTAGAATTGTTTCTGCTGAACAATTGCTTTGTATTGGTATCTTAGACACTGCATATCTTTTAACTCTTATGTTGAACACTGTGCATTGGCCACATGAAATGTTGTGACAACATGGGGAAAATGCACATTACACTTATTCCTGGTTTCATTTTAAGTGTTTGTTGTGTATTTCCTTTTTTTTTTTCCTTACCTACTTTGAACTTCATCTTAAATGTTCTTGTAAAATGTCTTAAAGGAAAATGTGCCTAATTTCTCAGATATTTGATGTATCTGTACTTTTGCAATTGTTTCTATGATCTTATTCACCTTTTCAGAACTAAGTACTTAAGGATGACTTCAGAGAAGTGCTTTAAATAATTGCCTTGCCAAGTATGATTTAATTTGTTTATACTTCACAATTAAGTTGGAACATGTCAATAATTTAAATGATTACTGTTTAAATCAAGACTAATTAATATTTTCTTTTCTCTAATAAAAATTGAAGTTTACTAATGGAAATATGATTTGTGGGCTTATCTATATTCTAGTATAGTTATTCCATCTTTAACTCTGGACAATTAGAGTTTTTGTAGCTCAGTGACAAACTTATATTATTTGTGGAAATAACATTAGAATGATTTTAAAAGCAAAATATGTTGCAGCATTTTTGCATGTAAATTTACCAGGAATGGCTTGGGCCAATTTGTTATTGTTGATTTTTATTTTTTAATGCCAAGTACAAGTAAGCTACCTCTGCTCTATTTCTTCATCGTCAGTAATCATCATTACTATAGTTAACATTAATCTAGTTATAAAGTAAGAGACTCTGTTCTAAAACTATTATAGGAATTACTTCATTTAATCTTCACAGACCCTAGGAAAGAGAGGTTGTTTTAAGAAATTGAAAGATAAGCAGAAAGCTGTTAAAAATCCTTTTTTTTTTTTTTTTTTAATGTTTCTAAGACTAGTAAGTAGTGAGGCCTACAATGTGAACACAAGAATTTCACTACAGAGCCCATGTTCTAAACCATCATGGTATGTCTTTATTGCCACCCATTAAACTTTTATGTGTTATATTCAAAGTGTTCTATGATGTTATAAAGTGCCCTGCTGTGGTTTCAGCGAGTGCTGTGTAATCTAGTATATCACTATATCCATTTAACCTCTTGTCCATGTGGCTGTAAAGTATGAGGCATGAGGCTGGTGTGTGATTTTCCTAATCAGAAAAGACTTTCCAGAGGAAATGATACCCAGTGACTAAGGCTGGACTGATGTTTCAGGAAATAATGATTTGGTTTATCTTTCCATCCTTCTGGAGATTTATAGTCTGAAGACCAGACCAGGTTGGACTGAATGATGAGGCTAACCCAAGGATATTAAAATCAAATTATTGAGAATGTTTGGATTAATGCACATGTTTTAAAGGAAATTCTTGACAAAGCAAGCAGCTTGGCACTCTGTTATTTGGCAAGTACTGAGTAACTGCTTGTTGAACTAAATGAAAATTAAGCACAAAAATAGTTCCAGTGTTATTTGATCATAGGCAGTCAGCACCTTGGGCTGAGTTCCTCAACTTTAAAATGAGGATTTGGAATGAAATCCTTTCAGCTCCAAGTGTTTGGTCAAATAAAGAATAAGCATATGGTTTAAATCAGGCTTTTCTCTCTCCATTCTAGCTTGAACAGATGGATTTGGAAGTCCGAGAGATACCACCACAAAGTCGAGGAATGTACAGCAACAGAATGAGAAGCTACAAGCAAGAAATGGGAAAACTCGAAACAGATTTTGTGAGTTAAATCCCATCTTTTGTCATGCTTACTGGTTTTTAAACTGAATTTCACTTATTTTTTCCTCCCTCTGCCTTAATCAGTGTTAAGTCATCATCTCCAGGGACTTGTGCAAAAGGCAAGGAGCAGCTTTCATGTGTATGAATTAGAGAGCTAAAATGGCAGTGGAGATAGCTAATGATGGGACTCCAGGTGTGCTGGATTCATGACTCACAAATAAATCCTAATCATGTGGTTCTTTGAGTTTGGATAGTATTTATTGGTATTTAGTATTTATTAGAACTCAAAACCCAGTCTCTGGCCTTACAGAGTATGTAGCCTTTTAGATGCAGTGCCAGGGATGGACTTCAGGGCACCAAGTCTCCTGAGAGTTACCCCTATTTTTGAATGCATGTTCCTTTGTGTGTTTTTTCTTGACATAATCTCCGTAGATTCATTAGAGACTTAAAAGATTATATTATGTCCCTCCCTGCAAAAGGTAAAGTGAACTACTTTAAATTAATAATTTAAACAAGTGATCCTTTATATTGGTTGCCCCATGAGAACATCTGTCTTTCTCTTCCTCTATTTCTGGCTTGGAACTCTACCCAGATTATAGCAAATTTAAGAATATAAATTTAAAGACAATGTTGGAGTTGTGAATAAATAGAAAAGAAATAGAGTAGAAAAGACACAGATAAGCAAATCCCACTTCTGGTTATGTTTCCAAAAGAATGTAAAGCAGAATCTCAAAGAGAAATTTGCACACTCATGTCATAGCAGCATTTTCACAACAGCAAAAAGGTGGAAGCAAGCTGTGTGTCTGCTGATTGATGAATGGATAAACATGTTTCTTCAGACAATGGAATATTATTCAGTCTTCCAAAAGAGGGAAATTCTACAATGCTACATTGTGGATGAATCTTAGGACATTATGCTAAGTGAAGTAAGCCAGTCACAAAAAAGACAAATACTGCAAACATCCATTTGTTGAGGTATCTAAAGTAGCCAAGTTCATAGAAAGAGAAAGTAGAATGGTGGTCACTAGGGACACAAGTTGTTTTATGGCATAGAGTTTCAGTTTTGCAAGATGAAACATTCAGTTGAGCAACTACAACAGTTGGATGTGTTTAACACTCTTGAACTGTACCCTTGAAAATGGAGAAGATGGCAAATTTTATATTACATATTTTACCACAATTAAAAATAATTTTTAAAGACACACATAAAAATATTTGTAAAACACTGTGAATGATAACTAAATGTTCTTTTATAGGCTGGCATAGGAAATTAGAATTTCAGTTAATAAATTTCATATCAGTCATGTTAAAAAAAATGCAGGTGAGAAAATATCTGAGTCTCACCAGTGAGTGACAAAAGTTATGTGTTGATACATAAATCAGGTGTGAATATGATTTGATCTGGTGTACAAATTCATAAGGAAAGTCAAGAATTTATAAGGATCTTTCCCTCTAAAGTGCAATAAATCTTTCCACTACAATGCCAATGGCAAGATTAAGTATTTGTTCTAATGGAATTTCTCTATGAGTCTGGAAATAGGGTGATTTGTACTTTTTTTGTATGTTTATTTCATGGATATTTAATGAATATTTCCTGAGAAGTTTCAATGGACTGCCTTAGTCACTGTTTTAGTCAGCTTTCTGTGGCTATAATGAAATATCTGAGATAATCAACTTACCAGAAAAAATTATTTTGGCTTATAATTTCAGAGGTTTCAGTCCACAATTGATTGGCTTGATTTTTGGGGGGCCTGTGGCAAAGCAGAGCATCATGGCAAGAAATATGTGGTGGAGCAAAGCTATTTACCTCATGGCAGCCAGGAAGCAAAGAAATAAATAGGAAGGGGCTAGTATCTCAATATTCTCTTCAAGGGCTATCCTGCCCCACCATGACCTAACTTTCTTCCTTCCTTCCTCCGACTTCCTAGAGGTTCCACCACTTCCCAGTAGTGCCATAGACTGGCAACCAAGTTTTTAGCATGAAAGTCTTTGGGGGACATCTGAGATCTAAACCATAGCACTCGCTCCAATACAAGTAAGTGCCTGTTAAACTGGGCTCCTATTGATTGTTTTGAAAATTAGAATCCGTGATGTTCCTGAATTCAGAAAAGAAATGTAAATTCTTAGCTTCTGTGCTATGTAGTAAATAAAACCTTTTTCAAGTGCTTTCTGAAAAGTTGGTGTCTCTCAGCAAGAATATGAGATATAGTGGGGAGATTGGATTTATTTAGGAACTTGACACCTTAAATTTCTACTTATAAAATTCTAACTAAAGTTAACAAAACGTTTAATAAAAGTGATGAAAGTAATATTAAAACATTTATAAGGATTATTTTCATTTGCTTATCTCATTCTTATGGCATGCTTTTCCCAAAATTTTCCTTCTGGATTCTAGAAAAACGAAGTGTGTTAGCTTACTAGAGCTACCATAATGAAGTACAGTCTGAGAAGCTTGGAGCTTGTTCTCAAAAGTCCAAGGTTGGGGTGTTGTTGGCTACAGTAGTTCCACCTGCAGCCTCTCTCCTTGGTTTATAGATGGCTTCTTGCTGGTCTTCAGACAATCGTCTACTCATGTATGTCTGTGTTCTAGTTTTGTAAGGACACAAGTAATTTTGAGTTAAGACCCACACATTTTAACTTAGTTAATTCTTTGATGACTGACCCTGTCTCCAAATACAGACACTCTCAGTCCTGAGGATTAAGATTTTGACACAGATATTTGAGGAAGATAAGTGTTCAGCCCAGAATAATAGTTTAGTTATCATCTTTATTCTTAATTTTTTTTTCAAAAGTTAAATTATTTTTGTGGATTATTATGTCATCTAACTCAATGTTCAATCTATTTTGTTTCCCATAGAGCTTAATACCAAATATATTCCTTTATAGCCCTTTACTTTATTTTAGATATTTGGAAATTGCATTCTTGGATTAGTATTTCTTTCTTAGCTATATTTTCTTTAATAAAGAAAAAAGAACAACAATGAAGTTAAAATTTCTTCTCTAGACTGTCATTAAATATTTGTGTGTGGGGGTGGGGGGGTATCACAACTTTATGCTGTGTCAGGAAACATCTCTACCTCATTACCACTTCTGTTGTACACTGCTTTGCAATTTGTAAAGTACTTCAGCATGTAGTATTTCATTCCATGGTAGAAGGGTAGAAAGAGCAGATGGATTGTTATCCTCATTAACACATGATAGATCCAAGAGGTTGAGACTGAATATAGATTTCCTTCAACACAACTTTTTCCAGTCCTACAATGTTTGAGGCACTGTCATAAGTTCTGGAAGACAGTGGTGGGCAAGATTAAGTACTTGTTCTAATGGAATTTAAATTCTAGTGGCGGGGAAAATCCAGTGGGAAAACAATAAACAAATAAGCACATTCATATTATATTATAACTGCAGATGGTGATAAATGCTATAAAGAAAAATAAAGAGAGTAAAGGATAAAGAATGACCAGCAGGTGCTGGTGGCTATTTTTGTTAGGGTGTTTTTTGTGCCTGAAGTGAGGGGTGAAGTGGTTGTAGAAGGAGGTAGACCATGGGAAAGTCCTGGCCTGTGCTCTAGATTGATGAGAAACCATTGGACGACTTTGAGAAGCAACTGGTCCTTTTGGAGGGTGGGGATGGGGGTGGGAAGATGAGGTCTTGCTATGTTGCCCAGGCTGGGCTCAAGCAATCCTCACTCTTCAGCCTCCAGAGAAGCTGGGACTATAGGTACAGTCTCAGCACATGGATCAGTGAGTCATCCTCTGACTTCCATTTTACAACTTTCTTCATTTTTCCATCCCATATTATGAGACATTTGAATAGAGTGTAGGAAATCTTTACATAATTCCCTTGTCTTGATTCTTATTTTTTGAGTATTTTTTTAAAAAGGAATGGAGAATATCTTCTTAAAAATATTTGATAACCTGCTTGTAGTGATATAACTATACTTAGAAACACTGAGTTCCAAGAAAGAACAGCAGAGGTGGTCCCTTCAGCCATCTCCACTCACTCTACTCTCTTCCCCGCATGCCGTCCTCCACTCCCTGGCGTCACTAACTGCATCTATGCTAACCTACACCTCTAGCCCAGGCTCCCCACAGCTCCAGATTCATACTTATTACTGTGTATTGTGCACTTCAACTCCAGGGTCCCTCAAGCAATACATCCAGTTTCTGTAAGCAGGCCTTCAGAGTTACTTCAAATTTTTCCCTGTCCATAATATTGAACATCTAATTGGTCACCGAGAATTAGCAGTACTGCCCCTTAAATATCTCCCACATTCATTGTCCCTACTGGAAGCCTTTGTAGTTCTCAGCATGATTGATCGTAGTAATCTTTCCTACTTCTGTTTCCTAGTATGTGTGAGGCCCTGGATTCAAACCTCAGCACCACATAAAAAGAAATAAATAAAATAAAGATATTGTGTCCAACTACAACTAAAAATTAAATATTAAAAAAATAGTGTTTTTCAACCTTGTTTTCATTATTGCCCTGTAAGTTACCTTTTAAGACATGTTTTTGTTATTTCGTGTGTGTGTGTGCACGCGTGCATAGTTGTTGTGTTGTGGTTGAATCTGAGCTACATTCCCAACTCAGACATTTTTTTTTTTAATTATTCCTCTCTTCTCCTGAGGAAATTTGGCACCACACATATACTTTATGTCTATGCATCTATTCATGTACAGTGGCCCTTTGGAGTACCACACAACTTTGTGATAGCTAAGATTTTTTTATCCTCTGAAGAACCAGTTTTTGCCTTTGTTATGGATATAAGGTATACCCTAAAACTTTCTGTGTTAGTGTATTCAGAGATGAAGTGTTTGGATTCTGACAACTGTTAACCTAATCAGCTGATTTTAGTTTGAATGGACTGACTGGGTGGTAACTGTAGGCATGTGGGGCATGGCAGGAGGAAGTGGTCACTGCAGGTACAGTGACCTGGCAGGTACATTCCCCATAGCCCCTTTTTCTTTCTCTGCTTTTTAGCTGCCATGAACAGAGCAGTGC